GAAATTAAAAGAAAATGTGTAATGAAAATAAAATGTAAATGACAAGTGGTTATTTTAGATTTCTTGTACACCTGTCTTAAAATGTAAGGGATACTGGAGCTTGGTTGGGGGGGTGGGGTGGTGGGATGGCTCGCGGTGGGTGCCGGAAAATTTCCCTTATTTTCAAATCCAAAACTTGACAGGTATGGTTTAACGATACCTCTGAAAATTGGTTTTTGAGAAATGTGTATGTTTACAGTAAAAAAAAAAAGACATTCTAAATGGTCTGATTTTTGGTGCTGAGTTAGTGCTGGACAAAGGTATATGTTGCACTTCGGGATGAATGTTTTTTAGATAGGTGAAATAAATAAAAACATCAAGCTTACCTCAAAACTGTAAGTGTATATATGATCCTACAAGACACAGAAACATGAGTCACCATAACGGCGGACCTACAGGGAAATGAATGAAGAATGGCGTGTGTGTGTGTGTGTGTGTGTGTGTGTGTGAAGGTCTGAAGTTATGAGAGAGTCACTATGTCCCGTTTCCATTCTCCAGTACACTGGATCGGAAGAGTTCTTCCTCTTGGATGATGACGATGACTTGGAGGTATGAGTGTCGCTGTGATATTGCACATTTTACTGTCTGCTGTCCCCATGTGTCGATCAGGACAAAGTCTCTTGCGCGCTGAGGAGTTTTCTCAGGAGAACCGCCCAGGGACGGACAGATGGCATAGGTCGGAGTTCATCGCTGATTTCAGTGCTCGGCCGTGTTGCCCCCTGCAGGGCGGACCAAAGAGACGCAGCCGGAGGGCCTGCGGCATGTGCAGTGCCTGCCTGCACACCACCGACTGCGGCACCTGCGACTTCTGCATAGACAAGCCCAAGTTCGGGGGCAGCAATAAGAAGAGGCAGAAGTGCCGGCTGAGGCAGTGCCAGAGGCAGGCCATGGTGAGTCAGCCATTCCTGCCTCCTCTCAGGGTGACACTCTGTTTAACCACTGGTGCTTTTGCTCTGTTTTAAAGCAACTGAGTTTGTGTGTCACCTGAGAAATGGCTGCACCCAGATCTGCTAAGGAATGCGTCAGTTTTGTGTCGCTAGTGGAAAACCATTCTAATCATATTTGCCTTGTAAAAGTCGTAACGTGTCCTGGATGTGGTACTCATGATGCCGGCGTGTCCCTCGGACAGAGACACCTGCTGCCCTTTCAGATGGACGGGCTGGAGTTCCCTCCCGCAGAGGGCTGGTCAGAACTAGGCAGGCGGAGAACGTACTACAAATACCCCCCCTGCACCAGCGGCATGGAGAAGAGCTCGGTGTTTCTGGAAGAGCCGCGGGGCACTGACGAGGAGGAGGACAGTGACGAGGCGTTCAGGCTGGAGTGTTACGGGCTGGAGACAATGGATGATGACAGGGTCACTTCCCTGCTGTATCAGGTGAGTAACTCTTCATGTTGGTCTGGAGAGAAGGGTGTCTTACTGAATACCAGTGCTTAATCCCTCTGCCTCCTTGTAGGTCAACCCCACCAACGGCGAGAAGGAGGGAAGTGTCGATTTCTGCCAGCTGCCCGTCCAGGTGAGGGCGGCGTTGATTTCCCCTCCTATGTTCGAGGATGCGTACCTATGCCATAACCTATGGTGGCTCCCCCTAGGGGTGGCCTTAGGTCAATTTCCAGTGTCCTATGAATGGGACTATATGAAATGGGGGGAAAGTTTGACCCCGACTGCAAGTGTATTGACACAGCAACACCCGTTGGGGCGTTACTTGAGGGTGCAGTTTTGGAAAGGGTACCTCCCAGGTCAGGGAATTTGCAAACACCTCACTGTTAATCGCTGCTCTGTCCGCTGTCACCTAGCCTTTGAAGCCAGGCTTCAACAGATGGTTTGTATGGTAGCCCTCTTTGATGGGTATATCCAGCTCTGGCCCCCAGTCGTGTCCTTATCTGTACTGATGTCTCTCGGCAGACTGATGGTGGGGCGAAAAGCAGCAGGTCTGAGGCAAGGACTGAGAACGGCCTCGCTGACAGGCTGGCCAATGGCAGCTGCTCGTCTGCCCCCCTCCCTCTGGGAGGCGCTGCTGAGCCGCTGGGGCTCTGCACGGCGCCTGTGCGGATCCCTGAGGGGCGGGTCGCCATGGGGAGCACGGGGCCCGAGGAAGGTGCCGGGCTCCAGGATGTCGTCTGTCCCGTGAATGCCCCGGAGCTCACGCCCAAGGTGAGATCATGCGGACTGGCCGCTGATGGCCTTCCTGAATCCCTGGCTCCATGCCAATTGGCTCTAACACCCCTGCAGATCACGCAGATATTCAGCCTGGCGGGCCCCATCCAGCCAGGGACTGAATACCTGTCCCCGGACCGTGAGCTGCGGCAGCTGCTGGCGAAGCTGCACGAATCCATGTTGCCCATCCACTGGGTGGCGCTGATGACCGAGGGCCCGCAGCTGCAGCTGTTTCAGTGCTCCAAGGTGTCGGCCATGGCGGACACGGTACTGCATATCGAACTCGGCCTCGGTTACCAGCTCAGCGTGCAGGGCCAGCCGCTGCTGCCCACCCACCCTGTGTACGACGGCCGGCCGGCCCGCATGGCATCTGTGAGCGACATAGTGTCCCTTCTCCTGGACCTGGAGGAACTGGCAGTGTGTCAGGGCTTTCCACTGTCCAGCGTGCTGCCCCGCCCTGGGCCATTGCCCTGTGAGCGCGCAGCCACTTGCGACTTCCTGGTGCCGCAGAACACTGAGCGGTGCAGGAAGTGTGCTGCGGTAGCGCCAGTGCAGTAAGGAGACTGCAGGAAGCTCAGCCTGTCCTCCTCATTATCTCCTGTGGGTTCCCTGTAGGCTCGAGGTCTTAAATGCCCAAGTGTCTGCATGCATACACATGCTGACTCAGGTTTGAGCCAAACTAGACACTGATGTCAATCTAAATCCGTTTGACCCCCTGTTCCTTTATTCTTTGTGATGGGTTTTTGTACTTATGTTTGTACTTATGCAGAAAGAGGGGATATTTTATATTTTAATAAAATTTGCCCTTTAAAAATCAAAATTAATACTTCTGATTTTATCACTGATTTGACTACATTGAATTCAGCTGATAATTGTATTGTAACTGTGCTGCTGTTAAAGGTGACTCATTGATTTTTGTTTTGTTTACTTTCTGTGCACATCGGTTTCTACTACGGCCTCGTTATTTGCACAGAGGTACCCATAATTCCCTGCTCCCAGGACCTCCCTTCTCTCTGCTGGTAGACACGGGATCTGAGAGGGGGTTTCTAAACAGCCCGTAAATCCCCATAATGTAGGGTAACTGCGTCGCTCATCTCTACAGGCACATGGGCTTGCCAGTCTCCCAGTACAAACAGTACAGAAACGTGGCCAGTCTTGGATTTTCAGCTCCCTTGTCGGCTCCATGTGGGGATGAGGATGACTAAGACCACAACAAATTAACTAAAGCAGTTAATATCGATGCCTCAACAGAGAGCAGCCTAAAGAACTCATATTCTGGTCATCTTGCCAAAAAGGCAAGACAGTGAGGTTTAAAGACTTTAGGTAGAGAACTGTTGATACAGCTTTGTTTGTTTTGGATTTGACCTGGTTGTTGGGAGACTTCGTAATGAAGTGTTTTTACAAATTACATAAACCAATATAATCACCAAGAGAGTTTTTTTCTCCTTTGAGTTTTAGGAAGTACAAACTGCTTTTTGGACGTTAGCCTTGGCGGACATAGGAAATTGTTTAATCTCAACACCTATCAATTGAATTTTTCCTGTATGTAAATCTTGTAATTAGTGTAAATACACTATGTGTAATGAATTAGATCTGTTATGGCTGCCTATAGCCAGATTAGTTTAAACTGTTTCACGAACTAAGGTGAGATTCCAGTCACACTTTTACTAGTTTTATTTCAGTTAAGTCTCAGGTAACTTTAAACTAGCTTGTGTGACTCAGATTCAGGGTAAAATGAGCACTTCCGTCATTAGATCTCTCATAAAAGATGTCTTTGCCCCCGCCCTTTAGGAAAGCCTCAGGTCCAGACGCTAATAAGGATCCTACTGAAAGTTTGCAATTCAGTACATTTCCAGTGGTCCCCTTTGTTTGTAATCTAAATAGTTTAACCATAGCCAGTTAACACCCAAGTGCTTTTAATTACAACATTTTTGAAGAGGGCACCAGGGGCATCGTTCGGGGGGGAGGGGGGGGGTATGTTTCTCCAGGCCCACACACAGGGGGCTCAAAGTGACATTTTGCGTGGGAGCTCAAAAGTACTTTCTACGTCCTTGAATGCACGTGACCCCCCTGTAATTCACCATGCTGATAATGGAGCAAATTAGGCAGATTGTCCACACATGGGTTCAATCAAAACACGTTTTGTGTAACTGAAAATGAATATCAGTCTATTTAGATGATAAACACGGCGTATCTAGCACTGTGGTGTCGAGGCATGAGACACAATTTGTTCCTATTTTCTAGGAAAATTTTCGTCTTTCTGAGATGATTCCTGTGCGCCCTAAGGGACACGCTGTAGAGTGGAACATGGCTTTAAACAGATAAGTAGATGCACTTTATTGGTCCCAAGCGGGAAAGCCTGGATGATGCAACTGGATGTGAACACGTATTTGTCCTTTTTACCAGATGCGTGGTTGTAAGAAGCAAGCCTACAACAACCAAGGAAACATTTACATGTACCTTTTATTTACGGTAAAGACTTTCCTGAACGGTCAGTGCCGGATGAAGAAAAAGTTATTTTTGTACAAGTCTTTTAAGTGAGCGAGATTTGTCGGCCCGCCCCCCCAAAAAAGGAGAAAATCGACGTGTGCGAGCAGATCAGCATGTTTTATTGTCGGATTGTATGTATGTGTGGTGAACTTGTATGGGCAAAAGTCCAGGGCCGATTTTAACAACAGTCCAGTCCTGTTGCTTTGTCATTGCAATGATTCATTATGGTTGCGTATAGTTTTGCGTTAATGATGTGAAGACATATGCATTATATATATAAGAAATATATACTATAATTTCACTTGCACATGTTTTTTTTTTTTTAATGTATTAATCTTAACACAAACTTTCCCCGGATCTCCGCGACAGAAAAATAGGCATATCCAATACATAGCCGATTATATTTTTCAGGATTATTTCTCCCCCCCCCCCCATACATCTTAAAGAACTGTTTGTGACTAATAATGTCGATCATTTAAGCATAGTAAAGCTTCCGCAACATTTCAGTTATTTGTGGTTTGGAAAGGTTTCCGGGATCCATGCTGTGTGTCTGTGTGAATGCCAGTCTAAATGTTTGCTTCATTGCATGCTTTTCTTCCCTTCTTTTAAAAATCTCTTGCCTGTGTGCGTTCCGGTTTGTAATGTGTGTATCGTAAAAGAAATCAATAGCGTGTTTTATTTTGGGCCTGTAAAATGTTTATTCAAATAAAGCTATTTTTGCTACACTACGTGTAATTCAAATGAATGAGTTATATTTCACTTAACCTTCAGTTCTGCAATATAGCCCACCGGTCCTGGACCTTCTGTCTGTGGTTGTTGGTGACCCAAGCACAGAGCTTATTTAGCAGTTAAATATGACGCGATACGGTTGTTTCTAACGAATATATTAAGCATATCCTAGAAAATATCTTTATGTTCTAGTATCCAGTCATTATAAACCATATGTATCAATATGTAATATGGGTATATTTTTTTTTGTTTTAGGCTACATGTAGCGACTAATATCAATATCCGTGCCTTTTTACCACGAAGAGTGTAAGAACTGAAAGCGCCTCTAGACCTTCATGTTACCTTAACTAACGAAGATGTCAGTCGGCGGATATTTTTATTAATCGTCACGGGTTTCTGCCTTTCGTTTTACTGCCCTCATCATGTAGAGCACCATTCATTCCCATTAGACCATTTAAATCTCACGGTCCAGTTCACGGTAACGTCTGGACCGCTCACTGGTGCGTCTAAGAGCGGTCGAGCTGTCTGTCCTCTAGGGGGCAGCAGGTGGGGGCGGCCGTGCGGAGCGAATTCACTCATTCACTGGCAGGACAAGTTGCCGTAGTGTTTTTTATACAGCGCTGTATTCATACAAGGCAAAATGTCTTATTTAAATCTGTTCTTATTTCCCATCTACTGTTTCTTCCTCTTCGTAGCCCATGCCAAGTCTATCACGAGCTCCAAACCATATGCAAGACATTCACAAACCAGTGGAGGTGTGAAATGATGACGGTGTGCCGGTTGTTGTGCGGGAAAGGCGGTTCTGCTGCGGTGTGAGTGCGGGCTGAGAGCGGAAGCCGCCTAGTAAGGGTTAACGGCGGAGCGCGTCCCCGGCACCGCGAACCGGGGAGCTGGTGTGTGCGCGCATCATAGCAAGCAGACAGCCGGCACTGCGCCCAACCCGACGGCTCAGGGAGGACCTCCAACGTTCCTCACTAACCACCGTCCGCCGTGCAGCTGGAGATCCCCAGGACCGCGTCTGATGCGCAAACCCGGCGGGGATCCGGGGCAATTTAACAAGCACATCGGACCCTGTTGAAAGAGTTTCTTATCAGACGACAGCCGCGTATCATCCACTGTACAGATGTTTTTATTTTATTTAGAAAACGTGTTGGCATACATGGTATATAATATACGCGCGGATTCTAGCTGATGACTTAAGAGGAAAAATAATATTTCTATGCAAAGCTTTAAAGGGATTTTTTTTTTCTCCCTTTGGCAACCTGTTTGGTTAATTGATCAAGTGAGCGGTGTTTTTCTTCTGCTGAAATACTGGCAGTAAACACAGATGGAGCTGCGTGTTTCTGACTGAGGCTCTGTGTGTATCTCACGCACACAAACACTCACAGGATCCTTCTCCGGACACCCCCGCGGTGTTTCCTCTAACACGTTAAACGGAAGGCTGTGCACGGCTTGACCTGTCGGCGGTGTTTGGCTGCACGGATCGGGTGCAGTGTGTGTGTGTTTGTGTATATGTGTGTATCTATGTGTTTCGGGTGCTGAAATCAGCGGATCCCCCTCATCCACCGGCTTCTGGTCATTCGTCCGGACTTAAATCAATTGAACTGCATATCGTTCCCTGCAATCATCTTCACTGATTCCTTAATTGCATTTGATATCATTTTGTCATGAATGAAGAACACTTCGGCCGTTGTGGGAGTTATTTTTCTTGGACAAGGTGACGGATTCGGCGGACTGAGAATCGCCTGTATTTCACACCGCGTTTATGGTATATATTTTTTGAAGGAAATCTCTGAATGATGGATGCGAAGATGAACTCGGAGGTGACACGTCTCGGGAACTCCTTTTAATCGACCGGCAGGTAAGAAGAGGCCGATCCGCAACCGTTAGAGGCCAGTGACAGTACTTTGACTTTGGGTCGTTGCGGGTAAGACGTCCCCGGTACTCCCCCCAGACGCGGTTACGGCGTCCACCGGCCAAACTGGTATCATTGAACCGCAAAACCATCCGAGCCTCACCGTTTGTGCAGCGTCACATGCACTGACAGCAAGGGAGGAAGATGCTCTTGATCGGATGCGCCAGCTTGCGCTGAATGTTTATGCATAAATTTCATTATATAGCAGCGTGTGCTTGACTGCATGCACAACTGTTATAATAAGTAACCTTAAATTATCAGACTCCTTGTGTAGTGATAGTGTTGCGCTAAAAAAATGAGCGCAAACGCAGAGCAATTGCGCTTTAGTACGCTGTTAAAAGACGCAGAAGAACAACCCAAGTTCAGAGGCAATGCAACAAGGTAATGCCAAGTTATAACCAGCTGTATGTTCAGTCCGGCCTGGCAGGCCTCCACATGCTGGTCTTTATCGCGGGTGTCTACTTGTAGTTTTTTTTATATCTTATTTCATTTTTTTGAGGGGGTCTGGTTAAAGCTGGAAATACGGCCCGAAGTGCGAGAAAAGTGAGACAACAGTAATGAATAAAGAAATGTGGATTGCTTGGGGATGGATGCGTTATTCGGTAGGAATGGAGGAAAACTGGATGTGGGGCACAGGATATGTAAAGTTAAGCAAAGGCAAAAGTTTCCAGTTTCCGCGGAGACTCCTAAGGACGGTTTTGTTATTGCATGACCAGGCTGAATGTGTTCCTAATTTCACAAAGAAGCCTGAAAAAAAATCACAGTGCCTCCTTATAAACCCCACCTCCAAAGCTATGCAATATTAAACAGCTAAAGGAGGCCCTACTGTTCATTAAAGTTGTTTGTCGTTTCTAGATTACAGCAGGTGAAAATGATCTTGTCGGCTGTTTATTCCGTGTTGTTGATTTTGATTTGTCATGTTGGAATTCAGTTGGATGATGTTGCTGCTGCTTTTGTTGGTGTTGCCTCTGACTCAAAAAAAAAAAAAAAAAAAACAATCTGAAAGCCAGGAGGGCCAGTAAGCAAACAAGGGGAAGAGCTATATAGGGATTGGGGGGGGCAGAGACTCCCTTAAAATGCCCGCCAGTATCAAACAGTGTCCCAACTTCAAGAAAAATGGCTGTAATTTTGAGCAACATGGTCGGGATTCAATCTATACATTTTGACTTTCGGGTCACCTGATCATGGCTGGAATGATAAGAAGTGATTCCTAAGAGGCCTGAGCCATAAGACAGGTCGCTAGGCAACGGGTTAAATGAGCTGCGGGATTAATTCATCAGTCCGTTTGGCAAGATTGCTGTCGCAGGGAAAATCTGAATGAGAACTGGGCGGATTGAGCGACGTGTTGCTGTGAGAAGCCCCCCCCCGTCAGCACGTCGGGTCGCCACCGCACCGTCAGCCGTGAGTCTCAGATTCCACACCTCAGGTTTTCCTCTGTACGAGTTCGGCAGCATCACCGTGGCGTTCATCCTTCGTCGCTGTCTTGCCGATTGTAGAATCTTCGCTGTTGCCCCCCCCCACCACCCCCCCCCCCCCCCCCCCCCCCCCCCCCCCCCCACCACATGTGCTGATGCTGCTGGTTTATTGCCACACAGTCACAGACCTCGGACATCCGTCCACGACGCTCGGGTGTTATTGATGTGGGAACGGCGTGTTTGGCAGTCAGCAGCTGCTCGTGTCCCAATGGCCCATATGTTCAACACTCAACCCAAAGGCAGAGATGACTGTCCATTTCCATAGTAACCACCTTTATTGTTCCGTATTCTTACACTGATCACAGCACGACTATGCAGGTTTGGTGGCCAGAGATCTGGCAGCTTAAATTACATGGTAACACTCCCCCCCCCACCCCAAGATACAAACTCACATGGTTTTCTTTTCGTAAGTCCTAGAAGCTTAATAGGCTGAAAACATTTAATAACCCATATTTCAATGTGCAATTTGAAATGTATAACAGCTGAAACACATAATCATCTTCTTGTTTGTCATTTGTAAGGAGACACAGATGGTTGAGGAGATGTAGTATCCGTGGGAATGTTTGAGGTAAACATGCTAGGAGAGCATTGACCAGAGGTTTGCACTGAGGGTGGCCCGCAGAACAGATTTCAGCCTAAGCGGCATTCAGAAGCTCCTCACTATCTACTATGTTCATGCTGCCTGACTCTTTATGCCCGTCTTGGCCTGAAAATGAGCATTTTCATTTGTTAAAAATGCAGCAGTTATGTGAAATAGTGGATTTATTTTTTTTCTCTTGCTAAAATAGGGAATTGAATTTAACTTGCATTGCATAATGCATGCTGCAAGGAATATATCATGTCACATATTGTTTGAATATTCATTGAATATCCATCTTCTAACCACTTATCCTGGTCAGGGTGGCGGGGTGGCCTGGAGCCTAGCAATCAATTCATAATTATTTTATTTTTAAATGTCTATTTCCAGCATCTTTGTTAGACGCATCCAGCAGTGCAGGAAAGGGCCCGGCTCTGTGAGCGTGGGGGTCCTGCCAAGCTGCCTCATTAGGTATCGCTCTGCAC